CCCCCCCCCCCCCCTTTAATTTGTGCAATTTTATTAATTTTTAGTTTATTGTGTCTTGCTGTGTTTTCTGCATCTTTAATGTGATTAGATTGTTTCTGAAAACATGCTGGATACTTTCTCAGATGATGAAGTCTTATATCTGGCTTCAAACTGCTGATGGTTCCATCCAACAAGTGGAACAGGAGGTTGCGATGTTTTGTCCACTAATATGTCATGAAGTAATGCAAAAAAGCATGGGATCATCCAAGAAACATGCCATATCTCTTCCTCAGCGGGTCAATCCTGCGATGTTGAGCCTAATTCTTGAATATTGTCAGTTTCATCAAGTGCTGGGTCATTCTAACAAGGTTCACCTCTTTTCTGATTTGGCATGTAGCTTTTCCTTTTTTCTTGTTCTATTAATTGGATGTTGAGTTTACATGGGCTTATATGTTTTCTATGCATATCTCCTTTTGAATTTATTAAACAAAATTCTGTGCTTAATTTAACAAACAGTCTAGTAACTTTTGTACTTTTTTCGGTTTAGTCTACAATCTTTGGATACTTACAGATCTATCTACCATCCTTCGCTTTTATTTTAGTTTAGTCTAGTATGTTAACTTTCTAATGGCAGTGTCACTCCATTTGATTAAATTAATCTTGAACTACATCTTTTGTGACATTTTACTCCTTGAAATTAATTTTGAGATGAAACTAACTTTGTGAGGATGACCAATTCCTTTTCACTGTCTGAGGGGCTGGAGCCTTTATTACATGCTGCTTCAACTTTCACTTTTGAAAATTCTCCTTTGTAGTAGAAATCACAATTATTGCCATGCTTTAACAGCTTGCACAGTTTGTCGGAGACTGCTTTGCTGGCTGGGACTAGATTTTCAAAGATTTCTTTCTTTTGAGCTAGTTGCTCAATTTCATCGCAAATTCTAATTTATCTATCTTTATAAAGTAAAATGAAATTAGGCTGATAGTTAATAGACTGATCATTGAATTACATCCAAAATTCTGCTTAAGAATGTTGAATTCTGAGTGGCAAACTGGGACCAACTCTTTCTCATTTGTCACTCTTTTGTTTGGGCTTAGGAATGCAAGTCATTTGACGAAAAGTTTATTCGAATGGACACAAAGAGGCTCTGTGAGTTGACATCTGCCGCTGACAGCCTTCAGTTGAAGCCTTTAGTTGATCTAACTAGTTGTGCTCTTGCACGAATTATTGAAGGGAAAACCCCTGAGGAGATACGTGAGATTTTTCATTTGCCTGATGATCTTACTGAGGTGGCTGTAACTAGTGGAGCCTCACTTAGTGTGTCATGTGTCAACAGTATTTGTTTATTTATTTATTTTTAACTTGTATTTCATTAGTTCAGGAAGAGAAGTTAGAGCCTTTAAAAAACACAACTGATGACCCACGAATTCGACTTCTGAACCGATTATATGCAAAGAAGAGGAAGGAACTAAAGGAGAGGGAAAAACAAAAGGTGATTTTA